TAAATATTAAGATAAGCAAAAATAATACATTTCACAGTCGATCACCATACATTTTTTTTTATCTTATCGAATAAAATATTCTTTATTTCATCTTTTATTTATAATAAATCGTAAATAAGTAATGAGTGATATTAACGATAATACAAAACAAATAAACACGTTAATATTCAAATTTCAATTGCGTACGCACATATTGTGTACAATATATGTACACATCAATCGAATACCTATCGCTTATAATCTCATGACTATTCACAAATATATCGGTTAAATTTAGAATCAAAGTATAAGTTGAACAAAATATTTACAATAAAATATTATTAGGCATAAATATTATAAGTAAGCCTAAAGCGAAATTATGTATGTAATGATGAGTCAAGTGGATTATTTTATATATAAAAACAACGTAGAGCAGCAGCTAATATAAAATAATAGTATCATTCATAGAGAGAACCACTCATATCAATTTAAATACCAATAAAAAAATTTGATAATCAATGTTCTTTATATGATATACATATAATATGTATTGTATAATATCCAAATAGGATGAGACTATCCTTAATGAAACAATTTTGAAATATTTCGTCTCATCTGAGATGAAATAGAACGAAAACTTTTCCATCTCCTCTCATCCATCATATGCGACTTCATATTCATCGAATATCTTACAAAAACAGATATATATATGTCAAATTTGATACAGAAAAAATATAGAGATTATATATGTATTAGATAAATAAATTGAAAGAAAAATAAATGTTAATATAGTTGCTGAACAGATCTTGATGCATGAGAGAAAACATTTCTTGAAAGGATGAATGTCAAACTTTATGGATCATTGATAGAAATAGATGTGGCATTAAGTGGATGGTTTTCCTACTATTGTGAAATTGTGGTGTATGTTTCATAACAGTGACTGAAGAATATTATGGAGGATATCAATATAGATATGTGATATGTATTAGCAGATTACGTTCAAGAATCATAAATAATTTGCTTGCATAAAAATATTTTCAGAAGCATTTTATTGTTCTAATCTCATTTTTTGAGACCTGTTGATTCTATGAAAATGATCTATCCGATTATCTTTTCATTTATTTTCAATATATTATCCAATTAATAGAAAATTCTTATGTTTCACAAATGAATAAATTTGTAGTATTGAAAAACATTGAAATAATGATCTAAATTTTGTTAATGCATTATTAAATGTTTTCATCAGATAATGATACGTCCATTAACAACATATGTGACAACAATATTTCGACAAGATTTTATTCATGTATAAAGAAGCTAAAGACAAGTTGATATATGAATAACAATACTAAAAAATAATACACACTGATTGCAGATCATTCAATGTATTTATATTCTATTTCTTAGTTGATGAAATTTTCAGTTCATTTAAAGATGTACAATCAATGTGTATTATACATTGATTTTGTTCGCTATAATGTTACTTCGATACCAGCATGTCTTTGACTTTTCTATTTATTACTCAAATGTTGTCTAATGAAATATTTAATCTACAAAAATTTTATCATTACTTTATTGTTTTTAAACTATACACTTGTGAAAGATAGGAATATTATATTATCTGTAAAACATATTGAGATTAGAATAACTCATTTTATAGCATTGATAGAACTGAAAGAATGGAATAATCACTTGAGGCATACATTGAATAATTTCTGATAGGTACTGAATATTTAGTTTTAAAACACCCATAAATTTCTTATTATTATTATTATTATTATTATTTATTATTATTATAGGTTTTTACATGTTTTTTCCTCTACTGTCATTTTCAGAAGTGAAAATTATTCATGAAAGTTGGTTTGTTAAAAATGATTGTTTTTTTTTTCAAAGACTCAATTTCTTATGAAGAGCATCTTTTCAATAATGAAAGAAGTCAGAATTCGATGAATGTTTGAGTTTCATATTAATTGTATGAAGATCATGCTGATAAGCTATTTTATTCAAATAAAGAAAAATAATTGAAAATTGGTTGAATAATACAAATGTCGTTTAAAATGGAGAGAAAAATTTAGTAACAATGAACATGAAGAGTATGATATTATTTTAAAAAATTACAGTTACTAAAGAGACAAAGGAATATCATTCGATTTGGATTTAATATTTTCGTTATCCTCAGGATTCCCAATGACCACTATTGATCAAAAAGGCAGGACGATTTGGATTGATGTAATTTGTGGTGTTGACAATATCTACGAAGTTAAAGAGACATATATTTTATTCGCTTAGCTATTAGATGATCTATCATTACTTTTAAACATGATTATTTTAGAGTAAGATTAAATCAGATCAATGAAAGTTTGTTCTTACTGTGCTGTATGCTTGAACCATTCAACCACTAATCCATTTCTTGAAAGCACACAATATGTTCTATCTGAACTCGAAAATTTATTTTGAAATGCCAAAAAAGTAAGTTCTACAATCTATTTACTCTTCATGAGTCTCAGTCAAATAATCGATTTAGATCATTACGAATTTCAATGAACGGAGATTTCATCAGGTCTCAATGCAATTATGATGATGATTTTTATATTCTGTTAATCAAATCTGCTGCACGGTTGATAATTTTATCCATGGTTATTTCAATATCGGACGATGAACAAATTAGAAAAGCTAAGAATTATTGCTTTTATGATTTTTTTTGACGTTGAACAAATTTTGATATTTTATTCCAGAGAGATAAGAAAAAGAAAAGGCATAAGATGTATACTTGATACTTTCATCATTTTTTATGCTTGTTTGCTAATTATGAAAATATTTATCGAAAAGAAAGAAACAGCAAATATAATTCAATAAAAACAAAAAAAAAGAGATCTTTTTAGTAATGAACAGTCCTGAAGATGAAATTTTGTTTGTATCAGACAAAAACGATCTACAAATCGAATCCTTTTTTATCAAAATGAACAACGATATGATTAGAAAGGAGAGAATCCAAAGAAAAATAACAACTGAGAAAACTTTTTGCCAAGATATACTGATGACATTGTCATAATAGTCAATGATGTTTATAAATGCATCTTTTTATCTTTTGTCGACTAAATAGTAATAATAAATTGTACATTGGTTGTGAATCGCTGTGGCAATTCGAACGTATTGCTGATCAAGAATATACCACACATGGTGTAAAAACACCAATTTCCATAATATGGAGGAAAATGAATATGATAAAGTAATAAAGTCCATATTGTTCAAATGATAGATATGCACAGGTCGCTTGGACAAACAAGTTTTGTTTGATGAAATGCCAAATGCATTCGCACATTGGAGTCACGACCTCTCAATGTCTATTCAGTGGAAATGAACTCACGAGTAACAAGTGCAGGTCATAAAAAAAAGCGGACGAAGACACATGTTTATTTTCCTATAGTTTGCTGTTGTTAGTCTCTCGATCTGAAATTGCTATTAACAAGAAGAATTCGTCGAATAATAGTTGTATCCGTCGGCAGAAGACGACCATTACACTCGTCGGATATTTTTATAAAGCGAACAGGTCGGATATTGTTTCCAATTGTGCATATATATTAGAAGAATAGCAATCGTCTGATCAGAAAAAAACTATGTCGGACTATCTCACAACGTTGCCTGTAGAATTAATTCATAAAATTCTAGACAATATTCAATCAATTGATATCCTTTTATCTGTATGTTTTGTCAATAAACGGCTTCGGTTGATTACTCTGACTTATCCTCGTTTTCAACTAAACTTTAACCGTGTGAATGCACCAATAAACAAGTGCCAGTTTGATTCTATCTGTACTCAACTGCTTTATTTCACCTCTCAAATTGTATCTTTGACATTGTTCGATGAAGACAGTGTGATGAAGTCGATAAAAAACCCGATTTTCTTCTCACGATTCAGTATTATCGATACAACGTTTCCAAATCTTCGTTCGTTGAATCTGACATATATAGGTTATGATACATGGTGTTTGATCAAAACTCGACTTCCACCACTGATCGTAAGGCTCTCCATTCAACTGTCATATTCTAAAGCAATATCATGTTTATCGGTGACATCTACTACTCTTAGTGAATTACTTTTCCTTTCGCCATTACTCAAACGTCTCTCTGCTAAAATGTCTGGCTTTATGGATGGTGATGTGAAAATTCGATCTCCAAATTCAGCTATATCATCTTCTGTTCAATATTTCCATCTAGAATATGTCACAATCGATTTATACAGTCTCCTAACTGTTGCACCTATGCTTCACACTCTTGAAGCCAGATTCGTCATTCCCGATCTGGAATTAGGTAGAAGTCATCCTCATCTATTGTATTTGCAACGATTACGGATTGAACTGTGGACTATTACTTGGATACAAATAACAATTTTACTTTCGTCTTTTCCACAACTCACTTACTTCGCAATTACTGCTAGCCGTGTGACTAGTGATATGGCTGATGGTTTTGCTTGGTCACGATTGTTACAAGGGATCAAACATTTCGAATTTGAACTTGAATTCTCTGATGATGCCTTCGAACAACAACCACTCCATTTTGACTCATTTCGCACGAAATTTTGGCTCGAAGAGAAAAAATGGTTTGTTACATACGATCGAAGCTTTAGCTATGATGAATGTTCAATGCACTATTGGAGTTCATCTTCTATCATGATTTATCCAACACCGGAGAGGATTCGAACGATAGTGTCAGAATCAACTGCATCTGAAAGAGAATCATATTATAATCTTCGTTGCTTAACAGTTGATGATAAGTTTTTGAAATGTAAACTCTTACATCGGCACACTGGTACCAAAGAATTGTACTTGTCAGAAGTTACTGTTACACTTCCCACAACGCTCAAAGATCTCATGACTGGTCTTGATACATCGCAAATTACGACATGTACCATTGATCCCGAATGGAATAGAAATTCGCCTTATGAACACATCGAATTTTTACACAGTTTACCTCGTTTGCGTCGGCTCAAACTGTCTAGTATTAGTCTCGACGGCTTTTTTCTTCATCAATGGCCGCATATTATTGATCTAGAGATTGAAAATGAGTTCAAGCATGAGTTTCATGTATTATCTTCAAATGATGTCGATGCATTTTGTCATTCATTTACTCATATCGAACGACTTGACATTCACTCATCATCTATCCCTGATCTAGCACAACTTCTCAATAGAATGAAGATGACATTAAGACAGATGCGAATTAGACAACCGGACAAGATCAATAATGAACAACTCATAACACGTGAATGGATTAAACAAAAGACGAACTTACAAAATTTTTACTACACACGTAATCATTGGAATACTGTCACATTGTGGCTTTGATACCTCTGTCATAGGGACATTTCACATATTGATTTTTCTTTTTATTATATCGATAACATTGATTTTGTAAGAAAAAACAAATCTTTGAATGAACAACTTACCGTTTACATGAACGTCATATTCGTGCATTTGTAGAGCACAAATATCAAAAGTGTACAAAAGTGATCAAAATTACTGTTTGATATGAAACCATATTTTTGACCTTATTTAACATTTACTTGAATTAATAAACTCTTGACAAATTAATTGAACTATATCTTGAAAATTTCTCATATATAAATAGATATAATAAGAACAGAGTCTTATTTTTTTCCATTCACTCATTTTGGTTATTACGAAGAGAAAATCCATTATCTCATACTTTATATTGAATTATATCATAAACAACTCATAATTTACTTATTTTTGTTCTTTTTAGATGAATCAACTTTTCTCCTTCTCTATCATGTTTTCAGTGTCGTCTCTCTCCACGGATATCTTTCGTCTCAACTGGTCTCCGTTCAATACTCATCTACATCAATTCATTGATGGTATTCTTGATAGTAAATGACGATGACAATGGTCGACTAGAAGGTAAATAAATATAACTGAAGAGAGAGAGAGAGATGCTGTCCAAAACGTGAAAGGCTTTATTACGTACATTTTCCTATCGTATTTTAAAAACTAATTTCGAAATAAATTGAAGTATAGTGCCCATAGGATAAAGTTCAACATAACAATTTATATTTTTACAAAGATAAATTTTGAATGTTATATCTAAATCATATTTATTTAAATAAGTGTTTCCAACAATTTTGTATATTTGTGTTAGTGAGGCATTTCCTGCTGGTTTTTGTTTTCAATTTGACGGGCAAGAAATTTGTGAAAAGAAATTAATGCTTGGTCAAAATAGTTTAACTAAATGTATCTTGACTACATCCGGGTGTTTTTATGACAATGTTTTTAGTTGATTTTCAAAGTAGCTGATAAAATTAATGCAAAACTTGATCAAAATCGTGTTTCTCTTCTTTTTTATAAAGATTATCAAAATTTTTAGAAATTTCTCCAAAATAAGGATGACTATTAAGCAATGATCTGGACTGGAATTTAAATGCTTTTTTAAATACAATCAAATGTTTTTGTCCTTGACTGAAATCAGAAAACATGAAAGGGATTGCAATATAAGTATAGCCTAAATCAGTATACCCTGAAAATAACATTTTTCGTTGGTGTTTAATCGCCTTTTCGAACCTTTCTAGTGTTTTGTAATGTTTATTCATTGTTCCATAGATTTTCCAATTTCAACAAACATATTTTGATAAAACAAAATAAGTATCGAATCATTGTTCTTGATTATTTTTGATGGTTATTCCTGCGATTTAAACGCAAATGATTGATTATCTTGATAAGAGTAAATTAATCTTAGATGATAATAACGTTATCAATAAGAGGGTGATCTTTTGTATTAGAAGTTTCTAATAAATATTTGCGGGGTAGGTTAAAATGTGTGATAGTATTTTCATATGTTCCTTTATCTTCATTGACTTGATCAAGTCCATGATGAAAAGTATCTAGATCAAATTGATTAGTAATTTATTTTATTTCCAAATTGTTATATTAAAAAAAAAACGAATTAATGATCAAGTAAATGAAAATTTATCGTTAATTTAAGCATAAATTTTGTTTTATAATTCAATGTTTAAATAAATTTTGTTAAAATAACGATAATAAACGTATACATCTCTTTTATTTGTGGAATAGAATTTATTTCTAAAAAAAAACTGATATTCCGCATAACTTTGTTAATAAAAAGCAATTAGTTTTCTTAATTAATAAATAATTCACCATTTTGATTAGAAAACAGGTAATCATCTTCTGTTTCTTTCTTTTCAACGATTCTATTTTTAATCAATTGAGTCAGATAGACGAAGTTTTCCTTAAAATAATTTCTTTTGTTCGTTCTATAATCAGTTTCAAGAGAATGTGTGTCCAGATTGTACGTGTGGTTACTTTATCATGAATAAAAATGATTAGAAGTTAATATTGTTGAATAAACGTCACATCAGATATAAACTGAACCAGAATAAAAGAAAAATTTGTCAATCTGAAATGTCCTTCATCTCAAGTTATGCTTATTTTGTTTTTTTTTTGATTATTCGTAAAAAGCGAAATTTAATTCTCTTTCAATAAAAAAAGAAACAGAATAAAATTAACAGACAGATCTATTGTGGCTCATGTTTCCATAAACAGTTGTACTACTTGTGATGGATGCCAACAATAAAAACTCTTTGTTTTGACTTCAAAGTACATCTCTTCTAATGTTCTCTATTTTACTAATATATGCTGCGATAACAGAAACAAAAATATTTCACATACAAATCAAGGACAATTTGTTGACAGTAACTTTATTTTAAAAAAAAAGTGTAAACCAATAAATGAAAAGTAAATATAATATATTTTCAAGTAACAGATGAATTCCTTACTACTCTTTTTAAAATGTGATCATTTCAAAATTTATGTCACTGTAAAACAAAATTGATATCAAACAAAATATGTTTTCAGAGAGAGTTTTCGTAGAATGACATTAATGATAGAAATACTATCGTTGACATTTGACTAAAATCAGTACATGTTTATTTTTTGATAATCTTCTACTAAAAATGTTTATCTAATTTTTCTTAAATTTCAAAGTTAAGAATTACTTCATCAAGAAGATCGTCAAATATTGAATATGAGTTATCAAAAAAGTCGTGTTGTATTCAATAGAAAGAGAAAACAAATCTTATCTTGAAAAAGAATTCTAAAAGTTACTTTTTTAAATAGCATTTCAATATGAAAACTTAACAATATTGATTTATAACACATTTCGAAACGAATATAATGAAAGATACGAATATCTCACAAACTTATGAGCAAAATATCTTTATCCTGAAGAATGTGTTCTATAAAAAACTGACTTCTTTCTTATGTTGAAGAAGGATGGCAACGAAGTCTGATGGCCATATTCAATATTGAATTATTAGAAAATATGAATATGCTGCAAAATCTGTCATCGTCGAACACAAACGATAAATTTGGATCGAACCTACGCTGATTTCGAATTAGTTTGTCTTGATGTACAATTAGATGATTTTGATGATGATCATTGTATGGAAAACAATGTACAATTTACTTCTAATAATATTCGCTTGTTTACCCATGACAAGTGATGTCTTGAATATTTGATGTCTAATTGGTTTTATCGGATTTTTCTCATCGTATCTGATCAATTGGCATCTTGTATATTAAAGGAAATCCATCAGATGGATCAGATTATTTCAATATTCATTCTTTTATAAGAATGTTATCTCGAAAGACTTAAAGATTGTCTCTTTTGAAAAATGTTGTGTATTTACTAAAAAACATCATTTAAGAATAAGTATATTGGAAGATATATTACAAGAAAGCTCGTTTTTCTCGACAAAAAAATGTTTTTCGAAATGTAATTAATATGCACATATTCAATGTTCTAGCTGACATGAACTATGCAGCACGTTTTTATTCTGAAGATTATAGAATGTTATTTGACAAACAACAGATGTTGAGAGAATATCGTCTATTATATGGAGAAAACCATCAAATAATTCCAGAAATTGATAGATTTGCTGAAACATATACTTCAACAGAGGCTATCAAGGGATACGTACAGAACCCATTTTTCTTTAGAATAGTCAATAGATCCCTTCACACTCAGTTAACTGAAATCATTGAAAAATTTCAACTTTTTTATTAAAGATTTGGAAGAAGCACTTGATCTTCACTGCGCAAAACAAACAATCGATCAATGATCCTCTTCTAGTTTATCAAATAGTAAACTGCTCAATGTTTATCATGATCAAAGACTATCTCATGTTGATATTATCCGATTACACTCATTAGTTGGACAATATATTACAATGAGTCAATACATATTTGACGACAAAAAAGATGAAAGTAGCACAAATTCTTACATATGCTGAAGAAAATTCTCCTCGTTTCAAATCTGTTCTATGTGAAATTGATATCAGTATCATTTATGAAAATTCTATCGATAAACTAGATCCATCTATTTATCATTATATCAGTCAATTTTCTGAAGAACAAGTTTTGCGTAGGATTGGAACTACTTTTAAAGTGATAAGCATTGAAAAATCATCCGATGATAGATGGTGTGTTAGATTACGTCTTAAAGAAGTTGATGATTATCGATAAAAACATACGACTAATCGAACATGTATGAATATTGTTCAATCTTTTTTTTTTCAATAAAGCAAGTCAAAAATAGAAGATAAATATTAAAAACATCATTAATAAACATTTGTCTTTAGATACTGCACTCCTGATGAGTGTTTTTATTCGTCTTAGTCATTTAGTTAAAGATCATTGACGAAAACAACTTCAATATTATCAATTATATCCTTGAATGAATTAATTCTTCTAGAAAACCAATATTCAATATTTTATGTTCAATATGTACGAAAAATATATCGAAATCTACGGCTCAAGTATTGAAGAACTCGAATTGAATCAGAGAAATTGATTGAGAACTATGTAATTAAGCTGATTGATTTCAACTTAAATTTTTAATGTGGGTGTGGGTGCGGGTGTGTGTGTAGGGGTCGGGGTGGGTGACGGTAGGNTTTGTTTTTGTTACATTAACAGGAAGTATATGATCGTTTGCAAATTTTTCTAAACTTCTTAAAACTATTTTTGCTTGTTGTTCTAAATATTTTAGATTATCAGTCATTTTCAACTCCAGGGCACCTTTGATGACAATAGTGAGATCATCCGCAAATAAGTGTGAAACTACTTGTGTAAAGTACGATGGCAAAAAGTGTACATGAATACGAAACAATAGAGCCGCTAGAACTGAACCTTGTGGAGCACCTACAGAAATTCTAATGAGTCTTGATTCCGCATCGCCATGTCAAATGGTCATTGTTCGATTTTGCAACCAAACAAATATCCATTTACGAAGTTGGAGAGGCATGTTGAGCTCATCAAGAGTTTTCCTCAGCGCAGGGTACCACATGCGATCAAAGGCTGTAAGAAAATCAACAAAGATCAACAGTGCAGGACGGTTTGGAGCTGCCACAGTTAAGCGAAGATCTTCGATTAGTGAAAGAATACGAGTCTGAAGTCTTCTGTTTGCTGTAAATCCAGATTGTTCGTCTGTGTTTACCCCATTTTCTATACCCCATTTTTCAACTCTTCCTACAACGATTCTTTCAAACCACTTGGCAAGATTCGGAAGCAACGAGATTGAACGTAGTTTGTCTATAGATGGATATATTCCATCTTTGGACAAACATATTCCTCTTGCCTGTTTGCCTCGTTCAAAAAATTCTCCCTTGAAAGCGCATTTATTAAATAATACTGTTATAATACTTAAATATTCATAAGGAAGATTTTTCAGTAAGAAAGCAGATGTATTCGTACTATCTAATGATTTTTTAGGTTTAAATCTCTCCCATTGTTTAAGAACTTCTTCCATTGAAATTGTCTCTAATGGAATATTAGGAGTATACAAAATTTGGTGATACGCTTCTAAAGCTCTTTGGTGATAAGGATTATCTAAATTTATCTCAGGTATCCCAAAATGTTTTTCGTAATGATCAGCTAAAATTTGGACAATTTTTGTGCTATCTTTTTCAATTCTGGTAAGTGTTTTTAAACCTCGAAAAGGAGGAGAATATTTTTTAAAAGATTTATTTACAACCGTCCAAATATTATTTCCTGTTTTCATGAACTTCAATTTGTTTACTCGTTGAGTTTCCTCAAATTTTATCTTCTCAGTTTTATACACGTCATTCTAAATTCTGTAGGCGTCGTAATATTTTAAAAAAAGTGTTCTTCTATATTTTCTTTTAAATTTATTTAGTGTTTTAGCAAGGTTTATGAGATATCCTGGCCATGGTGGACGAAATTTATTGGTTAATTCATATGTGCTACATCTATCCCAGAGTGATGAAAGAAAATCGGAGAATAAAATGAAGAAAAATTCATGATCATAATTATAGACTGTGGAGTTCCAGTATTCAAAAGTAGATTGTAGAAAAAAACTAAAGATTTTCCAGTTTGTTTTACGAAAGTAACTGTTTTCTGCTAGATTAAGTGGCGATGTAAAGAGAATAGGATAATGATCTGATGTTCCTTCATATAGCACTTCAGCCTTCCAGCCTGTTCCGTCATTTGTAAGGGCAAAGTCAATAATCGAGTTAGATCTTTTAGAGGTAGGGTTAGAGGTGTATATCATATCACAACCATTCTTATCTAACCAATCTTTCAATTGATTTCCACTAGTATTATTATTTCTACAGTTCCATTGAACATGTTTAGCATTATAGTCACCAAAAATTATAAAATTTTTCTCTAAATATTTTTCAAAAATATGGAAGGGGGTCTCTTATTAGGAGGTACGTACACTCCCCCTATTCCAATAGAGCTATTTGTGTCCTGAATTTCCATCATTATGAAGTTCTCAGCTTTTTCTATTATTTTGCTTTTTATTGAATGATGTATTAAAATTGCTACTCCTCCAAAACTGTTACTTCCAGCAGAAGATTCCCAATAATATCCGGGAATAGAGCACAAATTACGAATTTGTTTACCTACACCAGTTAGGATAGTGATCTTTGGAGTATGAGAAGAGAGAAGAATATCGAGATCTGCACCGTGTGTGCTAAGGGCTTCACAGTTGAATAGGAGAAAAAAATTATTACTATCTTCTAAATTTTTTGGTCTGCTTCTTTTCCAGTTTTTGCAAAGTTCTGATATAGTAAAACGTGAGTTCCATTCGGAGAAAATAAAAGAGAGAGTATTTCGTTCATTTGAAGTTCCATTGAATTGATCGATTAAGTTCATATTTACTATTGGCGAAGCATATTTGAAATCGTTATTGTACATTTGGTTGTTTAATTATTGTATTTAATGCTGATTTTAGTGCTTCGCGCTGTTTTTCGACTAGCATATTTAGTTTGATCTGATGCGAGGTGTAAATGGATTTTTTATCATTCATGTAAAGGGTTTGCTGTTGTAATAGAGCAAGTATTGGATTAAGTTCTGTATGATTATTTTCGTTTAATAATTTGAGTACAGTCTGCGTCAGAACTTCCATTACATTTGCACATGAAGTAAATAATATTGAGTTAATAATACCATCCATTGTGTTTAGCATTTCTGTTTGGGTTTGCATTTGCTGTTGCATTATTAACCAGCTTTGGTTCATTAGATTCAAATGATTATTGTATCGTTCTTCCAATCGTTTTTGTTCAGCAGCATAATTTTCTTTTATAATTTTTAGCTCATTACTAAGTGATTTAGTTGTTTCAATTAAATTATCATTTAAAGATGTTGTTGATGAATATAATGATGCGGATGGTAATGATGGCCATTGACTTTGATCTGCAAAATTAGAATGATGAACTATTAGCTGATGTTGGTTCTTATTTGATATTTGATTTTGTGTTAATTTATTTTCTAAAACTTTTATCTTTGAGCCGTGTTCACGACAGTCCGTAGGTATAAATAATTGTGTTGCAGTTGGAAGTAAATCAGGACGAGTTTTTAATTCATTTATTAGTTCATAACGGAACTTTTGTATAACTGGACAAAAATAATCAGTGGAAGTGTGAGCACCACCACAGTGGTGACACTTTATTTCACATGATTTGTGATCATTATTATCGTTTCGATCTTGATCACATCTTCGACAATTCTATTTTCGAATTTAAACATCGTTGTTTTGTATGTCCAGGTGAATTACATTTTGAACAAATCAATAGTTTGGGGGCAGGAAGATATTCGTCACATTCAATTAATTGTCCAAATATTGTTAATTTTCCACTTCTTAAAATTTTATTGTATTCCTTTTCATCTTGCAAATCAATACGAACATGTCTGTTTCTAAGATTTAATGTACCAATAATATCTTCGAGTGCATAAATAGATTTATATTTTATTTCTAATTCTTCTTTTATTTCATCATTCGTTATTGTATTTTTTATCCATTTAATAATGATGGATCTTTGTGTTGGTAAACGTTTTGGTGGATGAGGAGTAATTTTAATATTTTCAACTTCTTTAGGATAACGTTCAATATTGCATAAAAATACATATAAATCAATTTCATTTGTTACACCTTGTATATCACCGTTTTTGTCGATCCACCATTGTTCAAAACCAATAGCTTTTTGATAAGTAATATTTTGTTGTCGAAATGCTTTTTCAATAAACTTAAAGAATTGTTGAATGAATTTTACTGCTAGTTTTTGTTCTTTTAATTTTGGTTCACATTCAAGTTTAATATGTTGGAGATGAGTTGTTGCAGCATAACTCAATGCTTGATTTGAGATCGGAAATATATTTTGATCATATTCATAACAATTTTCCTTTGATGCATTAATATTCGATGCTGTATGATGTTGTTGTTGACCAGCTTTGTTTCCGTTTTTGTTCGAATTTGTGTTTGAGTTTGTGTAAATTCTGCTGCTTGTTGATGATGTTTGATCCAATCTTGAGTAGTTGTTTCTTTTCTTATATCTTGATTTATGTGTTTGTTCAATATAACCATCGTTATTATTTTCATATTCATAATTTTGTTCATATTGTAATTCACTTCCGTTTGTGCGATAACGTTTTAGTGATGGTGATTGATTTCGTTTATCAATGAATTGAATTTGTTCTAAAGTACTTTGAAAGTTTCTACCATCACATAGGTCATCTTTTTCTTTTTGTGTCATGGTGTTATATCTGTTGTTGTTCATGTTCAATTTTTATCGATTTTTAGCAAAAAATTTATATTTAATGATAAATAAGTAAATATATAAATAACGCTTGGGGCCAGCAAGGACGAAAAGGTCTGTTAGTAGAGAAGAGAAACAAACGTGCATGTATACGGTCGGTATACACGAAGACGAATGATGTTTGTTTTTTTTTTTTTTTTTTTTTTATTTCATATTAAATTGTTCATTTGATTATGTGTGACATGGTGCATTATAAAATTGTAACAATCAATTACTTTAATCTGTAAATACATTCGTCCTTTTAATTTTTGAATTATATAAATGATTCTCATTCTAATAGGAAAGTTGTATTGAAATTTGACACTATTTCAAGGTCTCTTTTTTTTGAAATATTTATTTCATAAAGTTTCTAAAATTGTGGATTTTTTTTGTGTTGATAGATGCTTCACTTGACAGAGGAAAATCAAGACAAATATCCTTCAACGATAAACAACGTTTTATTTTCTGTATTATTTGTCCTTCTATTGAAATAACACAAAAAAAAACAAACCAATATAATCCTTTATTCTATGCATAAGACTTAATTTTCCCGTGTTGGTTTTCGTATTACTATAAAAAGTCTGACTAATTATACAGAAAGAAAAAAACTTTTTTTATCATAAAACATCATTTGTAATATTTGTTATTCATGAATGAATATTTATGTATATTCGAAAAGTCACATCTACCAAATCAACGTCAATTGAATTATCAATGTCAAATCAAAATTAAAATAAAAGTTCTTTAATAAACAAAAGATATTAAAATGCTGTCAAAAAACAAAAATATATCAATAATTTGTTTATTTAATATAATGAATTACAATCAGATATTTTGAATAAAGAAAAAAGATTAAAATCAAAAAATAAACTCGATTATAATCAAGATGAGTATCATTTATATATAGTTAGAATAATAAAAGAAATGTAAAGTATTTATATGAAGCTTCTTGAAAATTTCCAAACACTTTTTATTTTAATATATGAATTTCTCTTTACAAAGCGCTTTAAAATATATTTCAATCAATCGGTCGTCATTCCTTTATTTATCTATTATTTTCTCTACATTTTTATTACAAAACATTTGATAATAAATCATCTTTTCATTCAAAAATGTACTTTTTATTTAACATCTTCAAATATGATTAAATACTCTTTGAAAGAATTCTTCACTCATCAATTTATTGATTTCAAATCAAAATCAGAACTATCTATTATCTATAGATCAACTTTTGTGTGAGACTATGTAAATACTCATGAAAATAAATTTTCTAATTAAAACCACAATTTTTTTTTCTAAGGAATCTTTAGTAGTTTTAACTATTGATGTGTATATCTTTATTTTATTTGATTAGTTATTGTAGATTATTAAATATAAATAGTTAAAATTATTGAAAATTGCTAAAACATGTAAGATTAGATTTTTAATTAGAAAATTTTCTTTTCATGAACACTTAAATCGTCTCATTCTAAAATTTATCTATAACATAATGAAGATATAAAAGAAAAGAAAAAGTTCAATTTTGAACAAAAAGATGATACATCATCGAATACTTTGTAATAGAAATGTAAATAAAGGCATTGAGAATTGAAGGAATAATCATTAGTCGATTGGAATATATTCTGAAGTGCTCTCATATCGTCATTTCATTGATTATCTTTGTTTTTATTTTTCATATTTATAATCATATGAAAATTCTATTTATTTTATTATAACATCGATGAATAAATTGTTTGTTTAAAAAACAATGGTTGTTACTATGAGTATAAACAAAGAGCGAGACGATTGTTCTTTTCAAATATCGATAAAAAAATACGCAAAAACATCTTTACCTATAATATTTTATATGACAAAAATATTTTAATATAAATAGTTTTATGCAATTTATTGCTAAATATTCATGAACAGTTCCATTTCAATATGCGAATTTAATATCTGAATGTGAGATCTATGGTTCAAAACATAATTTATATCATCGTCTTCAACCATCAGAACGTTAGAAAAATCAAATTGTTTACATAAATTTTATATGAATGACAAATAGTTTTTCTATCCTTTTTCTATGTTTCACAAAAAAATTTGATTTTAAAATTATTTCATTTTAAACAATAGTAAAAAAAGAGATACGCTAGTGTTATCTCTTTTGAGTGGTGAGAAGTACAGGTTTCTAGCTCTTTTATTTCTCGATTTATAGTAAAAATTGCTATGACTATTATTCTTTTTTAAACAAACATTTATTTTCTTTCCTGTAGTTCACAGTATCCATCAATACAATTATCACTTGTGTTTTTTTCTCAGTTAAATATATTTATTGCTGGTATAAGAAATAAATGAAAGAAAAAAAAAGAATGATGTTAGGAAAATGTGTAATCATAAAACTAATATTATATAATTAAACATGTAATCCATCGTAGTTTTCTAATAGAAAAAATATTATATAAATGAAAAAAAAATTTTGTTAGTTGTTGTTAATCAATGTTAGTTTGAAATAATTGTCCTGTGAAAATTTTATCGAGTTGTTCGTTATTAACGATTAGCGACCATGGGAATTGCTGTCGAAATCTTCTATTGGAAAACAGAATGGCCTGCGAAATGTAATTCTCATAATATCATTTGAATTAACGCATAAGACATTTCTAATATAACGTTCAAGTGGAACTAAATATTTTCTTTCTAAATTTGGTTTTCGACTATATAATTCTAATTCCCGCTGTTGACATGGTTGATTTAAATCATAATTTGGTGTTAGACATCTATAAACTAATGCATAATGATCATAATCAGTTTTTAATACATATAAAGGTTGATTAACAATTGTTGCACTATTAACATCGTCTTTTTCAACTCTCATTTTTGCACCATTATCTGCATAAAATGACTTTGTGGTAAGTGAAATACAATTTTTTGTGACAGATTGTTTTCCTTTACTGAAAACAAGAAGATGCTTAGTAACATCATTTTCTAATTGAAATAGTTGTATAAAATCTGTCAATAAATTAGCTGGAGAAAAACCGGTCCGATAAAAATCTATTTCATACCAAAACCCAAGAAATCTATAAACATTGAAATTTGATTCAACAGATAAACTTGAAAATGAAGGAGGAGTACATCCAAAAGATGTATTGATTAATAAAATCAATCCAATTGTTATAAACCAAAACATATTATTACGATTATTTGTTTTTTATTGAAGTTAAAATGAAATAAACATAGAGAATAATACCTACGTATGCTATTTATATACTAGAGCGTTTAGTCAGTATTATTTGATAAAATATATTGTTTTTGAAAAACAGATAAAGAAAAAAAAATAAATGTCATGAATATCGTTTGTTGTTTGTTATCGAACATTAAAAACAAAAGACGATTATCGATTGAAGAGAAAGAAAATATAAACACAAAAAATGTGGACTTTTCTTCCTTCATTGAATACTTTATTTTATAATAAATCATGCATATATTCGTTTAGACTGATTTATAGATAGATAAGTGTGTAAACAATATCGATTATTACTAATCGTTATTTTATTCTTGGCTAACGTTTGTTTTCGTAAATTGACATGCTCTCCAAATATACTTTTTTTTTTAAACCCTAGTGTAATTCGAACTTCACATTCGTATTATAATCAGTGTATTACATTATTAAACTTGCGATTATGAATTGAAGCCCTGAAACGATTCCAAAATAATTTTCTAAATAAATCTAAGCCATTTTATTATTTTTAACATTATTATATTATTCGACTATATATTTTTGTACAGAAATATATTTTCGTCAAGGTCATGTATTTAGAAACACAAAAAACAATCTTGATTTGAAATTTTTTTCTATAGAAATAAAATGATTTCATATTTTTTATTTGAAATTTAGAACTGTTTTATTTTAATAGACTAAATTCTCATATCAAGAATCTTTTTTTTTGTGTTTCTAAATAAATGACCTAGAAGAAAATATATTTATTTACTAAAATATATAGTTGAATAATATAATAACGCGAAAAATAATGAAACAGATGCTACTTCTTTGAATGATACCAGAAAATTATTTTGAAACTGTTGCAGAACTCTATTATAAACAAATCAAATGATTGATATGTTCTATAAATATAGAGTAAATATCTAATTCGAGTTTCAATATAAATAGACATTTGAAAAAAAAAACGTTGCATCCATAATAACATATCATAAAAATTAAATAGATAATATTTTATTATTTATAGTTTATAAATTCGAAGGTATCTATATTAAAATAGCAGAAAACCAAACGATTAAAATTTATACATTATTTCTTATAAAATCAAAGGAAACCTGGATAAGATAGTAAAAACAAACTAAAAGCTTGAATTTTAGTCATTATAAATAATAAAAATGAAACCATCTATATTTGATGAAACAACAGCAAAATATAAAAGTTATATACACTATAATTTATAAATTCGAAGATACCTATGTTTATATAGCTTAAAAGCCAAACATTAAATTTTATAAATTATAATTAGTCGAAATTCTAAGATACTAATGGAAAAATATCAACAAACTAAAAGATTAAATTTTATAAACGATAAATTATAATAGGTAAAATAAGTATCTTAAAACAGCATAGAAATCAAACATTAAATTTTTATGAATTATATTTAATCAATTAAAAGACATTCAGTTTAAAATAACAAAGAAAAACAAAAGATTAAATTTTCGTCAATTATACACTTTAGAAATTCGAAGTTTTCCCTGTGAAAATCGCAAAAAAAATCGACAGATTAAATTTTATAAATTATTACTCCTAAAATCGAAGACATGCAGATTAATTTTGTTAACAGTACTGTAAAATATAAAATTGGAATTCAGTTCATATGGTAAGTCTCAAGTTTCAAATTTGAACGAGCTACCGCCATACCGTCAATCTTTTCGATTATGTATGCGTGTTTGTGTGTGTGATTAAGTTTTGGTGACTATGAAGTTTTTTTTTATCCCAGACTCACGATTGGTTCGACCATATGTGTGCATTATTCTATTTTAGTCGTGATCTGTGATGTTCCTTTTGCCATTTTCTCATCTAATGCAATAATTTTTATGTAAAATCTTGGTAAACATGATTGCTGATAGTGATATCAGTATGAAAGTGGATAGTTAAATGTTCAAACTCAAAATTCTACCATAAACTTGAAATATCATTTGTATTCAATTTCTAGGTTTTCCACATACTCCTGGAAAAAAATAACTGCACTCAGTGTCTCAATGATTTTTGTTACCATAACGGAATACTTTTTTTAAACTTAATTACATATTCTGAAAGCTCATGGAGTTCTCTATCATTCTGTGTGTTTATATTTCACTTTGTACTTAGAAATTGTCGAAATATATCAGCTGAAACGAAGTGATACTCATGTCCAGATTCCCAAATTTTTGTTGTTGTTGTTGTCTTACGCAATATTTTCCTTTTATCATTCTTATAGAAATATTTTTTCAAACAAGTAAATATATATTTTTGATAGGGCTTGAAATACTCTATCACTCTGTATGTAGATCTTTTCTTTTGTATTGATTCATTGTAAAAATAATTGATCACATGAAAGACAACCACATTTAACAAGGATAAAAAGATCTGTGTTTTTCAGAACTTTTTAATTTTCTATTTTAAATTATTATTCTTGGAAGAATAAGTTTTTAGAAAAGAAACTCGCTGCAGTGGAAT